AGACCAGGCAATCCTAATGCCGTGCTGACGGCTCGGATCACCTGCATGAGGGTTTCTGGTGCCTAACTTTTTACCCAATGTCGGCCATGCCAGTATCGACATGTACAAGTACCAGCTTGACACGGTCATGCAAAGTCTCCAGACAGTGGCACACATCTTTTTGGAGAACTCTTTGTGTCGCCTGCTCGAGGGCCGGCCGCTCGCCACTGCTGCTGTCAAGGAGAGCCTCAGTTTGGATGAATGTCAGTTCAAGGCTCTAGTGCGGCGAGAGGGCAGTTCACCCTGAGGTGATGTATCGTGCTTTGGTGCAATGCCACGATCAGCGGCATGCCCTGCATCATCGAAGCTGGACAGCCTTTTCTATGACTCAAGCATCCTGCACCAAGAAATCCACAGTTCTCTGACGGAAGCTTTAGTCTCTTTCCACCACCTTCTGTGCGTGGTCTCGCTTGTAGCGCCGGGCTTCCAGCATAGCCATGATCCTTCGGATCCTCGCCTCGTCAAGTAGGCACAGCCGAATCAATGCCTGTGCTGTGTCTTCCGTTCTCATCGGAGTCTGCATGTGCTGGACCAAACCGTCTCTGAGATCGCATGTCCAAAAGCTGCCCTTTTCCCTGCGGCGAGACCTGGGCTTTCCTCTTCAGCAAGCAACGGTGACCTGGGGTGGGCAAGCAGGGGTTGTAAAGGTGCACCCGACACTGGACGACTCCGTCCGCAGATGTCTGCATCATGCCGAGTCTGCAATGCGGACAAGCAAGAGAGAGAGAGAGAGAGAGCGAGATAGTTGTCATGGATGGACCACGCAGTCTGGCATTCTGTGGCCAAACCGGGGTCCGGGCCGCTGGAGGCCTTGCAAAAAGGAGCAAAGAATTGGCGGAAACTTTGCACAATCACCGGGAGAAGCTTTCTTGTGGAACCGGGCCAAAAGGCACGGTCCTGAAACCACGCGCCCTAGACGCATAAACCGGAAGCCTTGATGGCTTCAGCTGCCAAGCACCCGGCTATCCACGGTTCGGAGGGCATCCATGACACGCGCAGACGGATACCAGGTCGATCCACCTCGCGGGAACGGCTGTACCTTTCACTGCCTTGCACCGAATCAAACCCCACAACATGAAAGGCCGAGAGAATCTAGTTTGCGCTTCATTTACTAGTGGTGCAAGCAGCAAACTTAAGCTGCGGCGTGTGCGATGATGTCGCCACTGCCGGCCATCCTAGCCTGTTTCGGGAGCGACGGTGCTGCCGGCAGCAGTGGATACGGTGCCTTGGATTCGAGAAGGCTCAACATCCAACCGGAAGTCGGCAATGTTTCTGGCGTCTCCGGAAGGATTGTCCTTGTGTGATCCAGACACTGCCCTGGTCGCTCCCGCGTCTTGGGCACTGGCTGATGTTGTCCGTGCTGCCTGTTGCCTTCTCAGGTTCTATTTAGAACAAACCGATGACGTCACACGAGCCGCGCGGATTCCTGCCTTGCCTCGACCAGCCTAAGCCAAGAGCAAGCGACTGGCCTTGGAAGCTTCGGAGGACTTGCTGGAGCTCCTTGAGGATGCGATCTTCCTGCGTGGCTCACTGTCACTAGCCTGTCTGTCAGATCCGACTCAATCATTTTCGGCATCTCTGGGCAGGAGGAAGACCATCAAGGACTCAGGCATCGTATCTTTCTATTTGCTCTTTTACCTGGTATTGCCATGCTTGCTAAAAGGCGAGTGGCGTGGGCTTCGGCGCTTCGGGCAGCGGAGTTCCCCGCTCAGCACCTCGGGGTCTCTTGCAGTCGTTACGTATTCCACCTACTTACCTTATACGTGGAGCCCAAAGCATTTGCCACACATGCTTTGCCAATATAATGGTATGCTAAAGTCCCTCATCCGCAGCAAGGGCATAGTGGAAGAAACGACATCCCGTGGACACATCCACGAACTTTGCCCCGTGCAGTGGCCCTTTACGAGCTCTTCGAAGTCTGCGAAGAGGTTCAGCAAAGCCTGTACAGGCAATTTCATGCCGGCAAAACTTTAAAGGCCATACATACAGCCACGAAGAGCACATCCCCAAGAGATCCCAAAAGAATTCCGAGCTCGCAGATTATGGCTAAATATCTCGATTCGCAACCTGCAGCCGCAGCCGCCACTCAAATCTGCGGCTGAACCGACTACTGGCCTGGGGCACCGCAGGGATGCTGTAAGGCCTCATCGCCACGTCGCGTCTGATGTTTTAAGTATTAAATTGTTCGTGCTTCCGATTCGAGAAGTAAACGAGCAGCATGCCAACCCCATGATCAAACGACGAGCCGTGGGCTCGCCATCTCTATGTTCTCTAAGGTGCCGCATAATGCAGCTCTAGGTTGATGTCTGCCTTTTTCCTCATTCTGCTCTGGCCTTTCAGAATGACGCAGGGACAACGCCACAACTAGCGATAAGAGCCGCACGGGGCGAGCTCAGCGTACCCTGCACATCTCAATTGGTGGCCTGGCTTGCTTTTCGCATCTGCTGCTTCATCTGCTCCCGATTCTGCCATCATCTAGAACGCCTGAATTCGGCTCCTTTACCTCAAGTTGGGAGCAATGCACTGGGAAGAAGATGCATAAGAGAAAGTTTGTCGCTCGATGTCAAACATCCCTAAATAGGCAGCCCGCCCCTTGCTACCGTAAGTGTGGCCCGCAGCGCAGAGGGCCACAAAGTCGCACATGGAGCTGTGGAACCGCACGAAGCGAGGCCTCGGGTCCGGCTTAGACTTGTCGGTCACGATCAACACTCAGCTACATTGAAGCTATACTTCTGGAAACTAACCGGATAGACCAAGTGGTGCTAGGATCCCCTGCTGCGCTTGCAGGAGGTGCATTGCGAGCTCCAGCCTCAGTACGTCTCAAAAGTCCGTGGTCCATCTCTGGCTGACACAGGTGCCATGCCAACGAGCAGCAGAGCCAGAAGGAGAGAGACAGAGATCCCACCGGACCTACACATCATAAAGACACTGCAAGGTTGGGGCGCCGGACCAAGGAGGTCCAGGGTTTTGGCGTTGCCGCGCCTCCTCCCTGTTGTGGGTTCCGGCTGGTGCTTGGTTGATGTTCCCATGAAGTGCAGGACTTGCTTCCTAGGTCCTACGGCCCAGAATAGTACAAGTAGTTGGAATGCGCTTGGTACTGGCATGTGCGGTTTGCTGCACTTTCCTGCGTTTCGACCCGGTGTTTCTGCGGGTGTGAGGCTCCTGTGTTTACGGCGCGTGGACTCTGCGTCTGCGTTTGTTTTTTCAGGCGCTTGCAATTGTCCAGTTGTACTTCCGGATTGTTATTTACGATGCTTACTGCGGGTAGCTTCGGACGTGTTGCTTGCTGGGCGCACTTATGGCTTCCTTCCGACCGGGCATTTCAGGGGTTCTGGCTTTGTGAGGGGGGCATTGATTCCGCCTAGGTTAAAAACGTTCCGCGGACCACGACCAGAAGCAACGTTGTTGAGTCCCGAAAACCCTACACCTGCCCATGTTTTCTGGATGCTCTGCATGGTCGACATGACGCCCTCGTGCCACGCGTAAATAGCAACTGCGCACCAAGTAATTAGTTGCTAGGGAGCTTCGTATCACACTATTTCCCTCGTTCCGCTTGCGAGTCTCCGACCTGATCCATTGCCTCTGCGAAGCATGCATGAAAGGACCTTAAGAGCCCGCCTGGTGCAAAGAAACTTCGCAGCAGCGTGGACCTGAGAGCGCGACTTGCCAGGCTCAACAGACGGGCGTGATGTTGATGTGGCAACACCAGAGGCGGGTAGGAGGCATCATGCCATGGCCCTGTGAACTTCGCAAGTGGACAGGTTCGTCCGCACAATTACAGCCCCGCCTGCCACAACAAGTCCCGCACGAACACCTCGGAGGCAACTCTCCGGCGCACGCGTTCGAAACAAAACAATGCCATCAAACCAGTGCCGCTCAAGTGACCGAGACTGCACATAGAAGCTGCCATGCCTCAACGCACGCAGCGCCATGTTTCCCCGAAGACAAGATGGCCGAACACCAGAAGGCAAGTTGGGCATGATGCGAACCTTTAAGCGATGCAAGATATTTTGTGCATCGGAGTTTCGGAAAAAAGTCGACTTAGAGTTACCCAGATTTACAGTGCATCTCCGCCGAAGGAGGCTAAGGAGGCGGAAGGCCTTCGCTCCAACTGAGACTTCAACCGAACACCGGTGTCTACAAATGTTTACATGGCGATGTGCCTCCCTTTCACTTTCCGCACCACTACTCAACTCGCTCTTACCAACTGTCCACCCACGCCCCAGCGCTAGTGATGTTGTTGGATGAAATTGCTCGTCACACTATCTGCAAAAGCCGCAGAGGCTTCATGTCTTACGTCACATGAAGCAAGGCTGCTGCCCCACCTCGTCCAGCAACGTTGGAACGGCCTCTGCATCACTCACACAGGAACAGGGCTGATGACAGGAGGCGATGATCACCCCTCGACAGGAAAGCAGTGCACAAGCCTTGGAGCCGGAAGGGAACTCCATAGTCACACGTAACACAAAAATGCCTACATGATGTTTGAACTTGCGTGCCCAATGCATGAACACCCTCGGCAACATGAGGTTGCGGCTCCAAGATACAAACGGCCAAAGGGTGACTGCTCTGGAGAGATCCAGTCCTGAACGGTTTTCGGTTTAGGGGATTAAGGCTTCGGATTTAGGCTTTCAGGTTTAGGGTTGGGATATCGGGTGGAGTGATCAGGGTGCGGAAGTCACGCTTCTACAGTAGGACTAAGTGTTCTGTTGTGCCTCTGTTCTTTTTACGAGCGTTCTTGATTCAACTCTGTGACGGTCCACGGTATCGCTTGCCAGTTCCTGCTGGCGAAGCTATGCCACACCTTTCATTTTGCAAACCCACGCGCTCGTAGACTCGCAGTTGTTCAAACACTTTCGATGGTTTCTGGGTTTGGTCCGAACTGGTGACTTTGCATTAAGCTCAGGGATTTTGGAATCCTTTTGGTCCTTCCGGCTCAAGGCAGGGAAGTGCGGACAAGTCTACTTGGCCTGCTCCTGCATGAGCTCGAGCGCCAGGGGCATCAGCTTCTCTGCCAGCGAGAGCAAAAGTGCCAAGGCCTCGCGGCAAAGCGAGAGCGGAGAGCAGCTGAGCGCTTGCACCAGGCTTCGTGTGAAGGATGCGGAGATCGAGAGTCGACCTTTTGTGCCTGCAGGAGGTCGCAAGGTTCGGCCATGCTACGGCCTGAGAGGAGCTGCACTGTCGTGCGAAGTGACACAGCCCCGCATACTTATAAACTGTGTCCAGAAATGGTGTGCAAGACGAAGAACCCCCAGAGAGGTGTTCCGCATCCGTGGCTCTGCACTGAAGAGTGAAGCCGAGAGGCTGAAGCAGAAATTTCCCGTGAAGTAGCCGCAGCCTGGGTTGAAAGCACCCCTTTCCTCCCCCAGCTGAGCTTGCGAAGAAAGCTGAGGAACACTGGATGCAAAGCCCTGGCCAATCTCAGAGCAGCAGGTGTCACAAAGCTTGCCGGGTGCGCCACCAGAATCCTTGTTCATGAGCTCTAGCTTATTTTGCAACATCTGCGCATAGTCGATCACCACCTGCGTCACTTCGGGACAGATCATGTCTAACGGCCTTGAACTGCCGCTCACGTGTTCATGACCTCCGTCAACCGACCCGCCCCTGGTGGCCTGGATGCCGTGACATGCCTCTGCACAGGGATACAAGAACTGCAATGATGATGCAAGCTTCTCACACGAAACGATGCAATGACCTCATCACAAGGCAGCATGCATGTTGGTGGCTGTTCCACCATTGCCAAGACTTTCTGGCATCACTGGCAATCCAGCAGAGACATGACCAAAGCGGCCGGGTGATGTCTACCCAGTGCAAACTATGGCTTTCCCCTACCATTGAATCCTCCTCCCCCTGAATGTTAACTAGGAACATTTACATATCCGGGGCCATACGTTTCGTCTTTGTATTCCTCAGTGCTTCTTTGAAAACCCCTCATGTGGCAGACCACACACTCTGCAGTCCTATTTCCTGCGGTTGCTCGACTCAAGCCTGCAGTTCCCGTGCGGTCCCTGCACCCTAGGGACTTGCAGGGCAGTGCCTTCAGTCCTACGTTCCAGCGGCTCCTACTGGCTGCAGCCCCTTCAGTCCTGAGAGTCTTAGGAAGGGAACACGTCTGGGAAACGAATTCCATCCACGCGCTCGCTCGTGCAGTCGTAAGGTTTCGGATGCTGGGGCAATCCTCAGAGAGAGAGAGAGAGAGAGAGAGAACGACAGAGATGGAGAGAGAGCGAGAGAGAGAGAGTCCCCTGCAATCTACCCTTAAGTGACTCCGGGGTCCCCCTGATAGGTCGCAGATGGACTGTGTTCATGGCCAAATGCTCCCGACAACAACTTAACCTTAAGGGTACATCGCATGGCTCATCACAGCACCACAGTCCGGCATAGACTTCGATTCATACCTGTTGAACCGATGGAACGGCTTGCCTGTGTGCCGTGTCCGTCGCTGGCTGCCTCTTCCAGGCTGCAATAGGCCGCATGTCCGATTTGCGCTGATTTGTCAGTTTCAGGCCTGGCTCCAAGCTGCGATAATGGACTCCAGCAAAGCGCTGGACCTTCACGGCCGACAAGCGCAAGTGAACAAGATCGTCCATGTCAGCTATGGAAAGCTCTCCCGGCCTTGTCAGATCTGCGGCCTGCAGCGCAACCGATCTCCACATGCCAGTTTCGGGGTGCACGCTTTTCCCAACAGAGGCATTCTGGTTGCCGGTCCCGAAAAAGCTTGCAGGTTCGGGAGCGGGATGCGGGCAGGTTGCGAGCGGGATGTGGAGGCTCCGAAAGAATCTCATGATCATGAGAATGCTCGAAAGAGATTAAACGAACGTTTGACGAATGGGAGAGAGCGAGTCGCTTGAAAGGGACTGGCAGTTCAGGAACTTGAACAAACAGCTCGAAAGACAACCTGGCACTTGACGCGAAACAGGAGAAGCTCCATCAGAAAAGCCGAAGAGGGAGAACAACCCGCCTGACTGGGGCTGAAGCCGTTCGCTCCTCTCTCTCAACGTGTTAACACTCTGCTTCTACCGGTTTTTGCATTCCATTCTCAAATTCGTTCAATCCGAACAGGAGCGGCTTGCCATGATTCTCAATTTCTCTCGTCCCTTTTGAGTGGTTGGCTCCTTTCGGAATGGCTTTCTCCATGTTCTGATCCCCCGAAAGGGTCTGCAGCATGTGAAAGAATGGAACAAGCCGCTCGAAACAGCCTGGCGAATGTGAAGGAGGAGCAATGCACTCGAAGGAGGTGGAAGACACTCGACAATCGTTTGGGAAAAGGAGCAAACCGCTCGAGGAGCAGACCGAACCAGCGGGACTGCGAAATTTCGGCAAGATCGGCACAGACCGGAGCAGTTGAACAAGAGGATCGCAAGCCTCTCGAAAGGAGTTAGAAGACACATGGGACCAGGCTTCGGTATGTCCGGCAGCATTGCTGACTCCCAGGCTTGGGCTGGCGAATGTGAACTCCAAGGTGCTGCAACTTTCACCCCGCCTGCGGTGGCGAACATTGAAGGATGCGGTGAAGCACCTGCCGTGTCATCAGTGAAGCAGAAGGCGGTGAGTCGGTGAGCGTCCACGAGCACCCGGCCACTAAGGTCTTGAAGGCCACCATGGTGTTGTTTTGCACCGGCTGCTCTTGCAGTCGCTGGAGAACCCACCTGCAAGAGAGTAGACGGCTCGCCATGACGATGCGGCAGCCACAAAATGCTCTGACCTCGTGTCCTTGGAGTCGTAGACCTGCGAAAGTGCACACATGCGGACGTGTCAAGCAGCCTGTTTGGTGCTGCAGCAGCAACCCAAACACAGGTTCAAATGACTTTGGGTTGAACTGGTCATCACAGCTTTCACGCTGGGGAACATGGCGAAACACCTCTCTCGAGTCGAGATGACCGGAACTCTGCACTTGAGCCCCTTTCTCCGGCCTCCGCCAGGAGTCGCTTGAGATCTTCAGAGCGAAGCACCTCGCTCCGGGCATCCGTGGCCTCACGATTAAAGCAAGGTCTTTTTCGGAGTTCGTGCTCTGTGTATCTATTGGGTGTTGGTTTGGCTTACTTTATTATGACATGAGAATCAGGAGGTTTCATTTTCGCTATAACGCCTGTTTTAGGGCTTCAGGGCTTTTAGAGGCCCGCACCACCCGAACGGGGAAACAGCAACGGCCACATGTTTCAAGCTCGGCAGCCATATGTCTGGCCTTGAGAACCAACCGAGAGCGGTTCTTCTCGCGGACATTCACGCCGAGCGTGCACCTGGAATGAGCCACGCACTACTGCTCATGGCCAGCCATAAGCCTCTACATACTTGTAATGCAAGCAGATGTAGATATCTTCGCCGCCTCTAGGCAGCTTGTCCCCTACATAGCTTGATTGAAAAGTGCACCGAGGCTCAAAAAACACGCGTTCGGGCCGGTCTCTCTGCGCAAGTCTCACCCCCGAAGATCTCCACCTCATTCGGTCTCGAAATCCGCTGAATGCCTCAAGGAACGGGTGCATCAACTGTGGCTGCAGTTTGTTGGCGCTGTTGGCCGGGGTTCTGCCTCCGCCCAGAGACCCCCCTTTCCTCTGCCTGTGGGTGCGTGCAGAAGCTCTGACGGCGGCCAGCCCCACTGCTCGCAGAAACAGTCCAAAGCACAGAAGCACTTCGAGGTGCCGACAGAACTGCCACCCCTGGGCAGTAAGAAAGTACAGCAGACAGGTCTGCAGTGCCCAATCGAGTGTGGAACGACGTCTGGAAAGATGAGCAGATTCGCACGTTTCAGTTCCGGTCCGACCGAACAAAATCATGTCAGTCTTCGTGTCTCAGAGGCCTGACAAGCAAAACCAGATCTGCCTTACCCGTCCACCTCAACGAACCCAACAACATGTCTGCGTGCACTGCCGGCTACAACGCAACTCTGCCAGACTCAGAAGGCACCGCCAACCGAGAGTGCCGCTGACCGACCACAAGTGGCTGCGCCCATGCTGGAGCCTGAAGGACGCCAACTCTGTGGGCAGTCGGTTGTGTTGAGCAGTAGTGCCGTGTCCATGAGACTACAGACAAAGGCTCCACAAGGTGCGAGGTAGAAAGCAGCTTTGACTCTTGACCGTGATCATGTCTTTCAAGTGTTCGTTCTGCACGAAGCAACGCATGGGGCCTGCGGATCAGCACAGCCAACCTGCACAAGACAGCAGGGGGCTCAACCGTCATGTCACTCCAGTCTTGGAAGTACATCTCTGATGTGTGTTTTTTACATGTGTCACAGACCGGGGCACAGACAACCTATCCGCACCTGTGTGGACGTAGCTCGTCGGCTTTCGGGCCTCACCGCACCACGGATGTTCCCTGCCCTAACGGTTTAACCAACTCTTGTGAGCTGCAGAATCCCCGAACGCCATGGCAAATTGTGAACCTCGCTTATCTGAACAAAGGGTACGCTGGTGTAGTAGGACCCTCATGCACCAGCGCCTCGCCGCTGCAAACGAAGCCTGGAAGTGTCAAAGGCAGGGCGCTACCTTCTGCTCATGGATAATTAACCTTTCACATGCTAAGCACTTGCCCCCATCAGCAGCCAAGCTGCGCTCCAGATCTATGACACGGAAGTATAGCAGCAATAGCCACTGCTTCGTTTTGCTGACAGCACGAAGCAGTGCAATGCTGGTTTTTTGTTACAACTCCGAGCTTAAACGGGCGGGGCTTTTTTTCTCACCCCGAAAAGGCTCTCTTATGCTCACTTTCTCGCTTGGGGTGTTTTTTTCGCGCGCTGTTCAGATCCTCAGGGTTTGGGGTCTAGGGCAGGAAGAAGAAAAAATCTAAGGAGGCAAACAAAAACAACCTAACCAGCCCTACGAAGCTTTTTTCGCGCCCTGGGTTTGGGGGATCTTTAACGAGGCAAGCAACAATTTAGTCGGCCGTAGAGGGCTTTTTTCGCGCCATGGGCTTGGATGTCTAAAGCCGAAGGAACAAAAGAATAAAGAGACAGAAGAACAGAGAGACGGAGAGACAGAAAGACAGGGACACAGAAGTAACTTGAAAGAAAGAGAGGGCGACAGAGGGAAAGACAGAGAGAGAGAGAGAGAGAGAGAGAGAGAGAGAAAGAGACAGAGAGAGAGAGAGAGAGAGATAGAGAGAGAAAGAGACAAAACGAGAGACGGAGGGAAACCAAGCCGGACGAGGGAAACCACAGGTGAGAGAAATGAGAAGAAAAACAGAGAGACAGAGCGACATACAGACAGAGTGACAGAGAGACAGGGAAAGAGGGAAACAAGGAAGGGAGCAGGGAAGCGGAGAAGACAGCAGGAAAAGGGCAGGGAAGAAAAAAGATACAGAATTTAAGACCAAGCAGCTAACCCTCGAAAGAGATTGGAGAAGTTGAGAACACGGGATCAAGCGGCTCGAAAGAGACTAGAGATTTTGTGAACAAGGAGCAAACCGCTCGACAAGGGCCAGACAGTTTAAGAAAAAGGAGCAAACCGCTCGAAAAAAACATTGGAATTTGAAAACAAGGAAACAAGGAGCTGACCGCTCGAAAGAGACCAGAGAAAGAACAAAACGG